CTACCTCGTCGATACTGGCGCAGACGTTAGCGTTCTCCCAGCAAATCCCAACGACCGGCTTCACGAATCGGCTTTAAATTTACAGGCGGCAAACGGAAAACCGATGGCTACGTATGGCAAAGGGTACGTTTACCTTAACGTGGGTTTACGCAAACCCATCCACTGGATTTTCGTTGTTGCAGATGTTTCTATGCCAATCACTGGAATGGACCTTCTACAACAGCATAATCTAATCATCGATACGCGCAAACGGATGCTAGTAGACGGAAACACCAAACTATCCATTTGCGTAACTTCTTTTTATGGTTGCAGATTATCCCCAGTCATAATTAAGCATACGATAGACCCGATTTATCAACCGCTACTCGATAAGTACCCTGGGATTCATTAAACGCAACCGAAACTACCGTGTGTAACCAGCAACGTTACACATCACATCACAACTACAGGACCACCTGTATTCTCTAAATCACGACGACTAAATCCTGAAAAACTAAGGTTGGTGAAAAACACGTTCGACCATATAATAGACTTAGGAATCATACGACCGTCAAGTAGCCCATATGCATCTCCGTTGCACATGGTCCCTAAAAAGGACAGCAACGATTGGCGTCCAACTGGTGACTATCGGCGATTGAACGCGAAAACCATTCCCGATCGTTACTCGTTGCCTCACATTCACGATTTGACAGCTACCTTGAAAGGTACAACTGTCTTTTCGAAAATCGACTTGGTTAAAGCGTATAACCAAATCCCTATGGCTACTGACGATATACCAAAAACAGCTACCATAAGTCCCTTCGGACTCTATGAATTTTTGCGAATGCCTTTCGGTCTAAGAAACGCTGCTCAAACTTTCCAACGATTCATAGACGACGTTTTTCGAGGTCTCAACTTCGTATATGCGTTTGTTGACGACTGCCCAATCTCAAGTCCGGACAGAGAATCACATCTCAAGCATTGGGATCTTGTTTTCGAACGACTACAAAAACATGACATTACTGTAAACGTTCAGAAATGCCAATTCGCAACCGATTCGTTAGATTTCCTAGGACACACTATCGATGCTCAAGGTATCCGACCCCTTAGAACCAAAGTGGCGGCCATTCTGGATTACCCAGAACCGACCACCGTCAAGCAATTGCGCACGTTCAACGGCCTGGTAAGTTTCTATAGACGTTTCATACCGAAATGCGCATTACTTATGAAACCTCTGACCGACCAACTTCGTGGAAATGCGAAATCCATTAATTTGGACGACACCGCGCGAAAAGCATTTTCCACAGTTAAGGAACTGATTGCTAAAGCAACAATGCTCGCACATCAGGACACCCGCACACCCATTAGCATCGCAGTAGACGCATCCGACTCGGCAATCAGAGGAGTCTTGCAACAATGGGTTAAAGACTCCTGGCAATCCTTGGCATTTTTCTCTAGAAGGTTGCTAGACACCAAATCGAGGTACAGCACATTCGGTAGGGAACTCCTAGCTATGTATTGTGCTGTACGGCATTTCCAACACCACATCGAAGGTCGTGAATTCACTCTTTTCACGGACCATAAACCACTCACTTTCTCGTTAAGCTCTCCTTCTGACAAGTACTCTCCCCGTGAGTCTCGACAACTGGACTACATTTCGCAGTTTACTTCAGGCATTCAACACATCTCTGGAGCAAACAATGTAGTTGCAGACGCTTTATCTCGCATAACTTCCTTGAACAGTTTCCAAGGAATCAACCTTCTTAAACTCGCCGAGCTTCAAAAATAAGTCACTGATCTTCAGCACGAGTTATCGTCCACAAACCTTAAACTACGCATCAAACAGATGGGAACAGTTAAGGAAACCTTACTTTGTGACACATCTACAGGTAGGAATCGCCCAATCATGCCGAAACATTATCGACGCAATGTCTTCAACATATTGCACAAACTTTCGCATCCAGGTGTTCGTGCAACCATCAAGCTCATAGCAGAACGGTTTTGCTGGCCTGGAATGAATAAAGACGTGAGGGAGTGGGCACGCTCCTGTGTAAGCTGCCAAAAATCTAAGGTTATCAGACACAATAAATGTCCCTTAGGCTCGTTTCAAACTCCCGACGCTGGTTTCGACCATGTTCATCTGGATTTGGTAGGACCCTTACCAGATTCAAATGGATACTCTTATCTCTTAACCTGCGTAGACCGTTTCACTCGATGGCCAAAAGCAGTACCTATCAAGGACATCACGGCTGAAACAGTGGCCCGCACCTTCGTCGAACGATGGGTAGCAAACTTCGGCTGCCCTTCAACCATCACTACAGACCGCGGACGTCAGTTTGAATCTGAACTTTTCCGTCGTCTGACCACACTTTTAGGAATCACTCGCTTCCGAACGACCGCCGATCATCCACAAGCAAACGGGTTGGTAGAACGTTTTCACCGACAACTAAAAGCTTCTCTATCAGCTGCAAACGTTTCACAGTGGATTGACGCTCTTCCACTTGTCTTACTAGGTATCCGCAATGCAGTGAAAGCTGACATTGGATACACTGCGGCTCAACTAGTTTATGGAACGACACTTCGACTTCCAGGAGAATTCGTGGATCCTTCATCCTCTTCAATGAACATGTATCTAACCTCCTACACGAACAGGCTTACAAACGCAATGCGTTCAGTTAAACCTGCTTCCACTCGACCTCAATCAACTGATGTTTTCGTTCAACCTGACTTACGATATAGTACACACGTTTTCGTTCGTCGAGACTCGCATCGACGACCATTCGAATCAGCATACGAAGGACCCTTCAAAGTTCTTCACCGTGAACCGAAGAACTGTATAGTCGATAAGAACGGAACCAACGATAGCATCAGCATCGATCGCTTAAAAGCAACGTATTTAGAAGAAAATCCTATTCACGTCGACTTTCCTTCGGTAAAATCGCAAAACACGACTCCTACACTCATAATTCCTCAACCGACAACCAACACTAGCGATGATACTCAGAATGTGTCTGAAAACAAACTTAAAACGACGCATTCTGGAAGATGAGTAAGATTTCCAGAACATTTAAACGACTACTGCACGTAAGGCACTACTCGGCATTTTACATTATCTCGATCTTTCTTTTTACGATATATAATATTTAAAAAAAATAATTTTAATATGCTTATATATTTATTTTTTTATTTCAAAAAAAACAAACAAAAAATAGAAAAGTTTTTTAACGCTATTACGTGTGCTTGAGTTTATTTTTCTTTTTTTCGTCGACATTGTGTTTTTACGCACATACGAGTGTATTTTCGACATGCACTTACATTTTCTTTTTTCTTTTCCAGGACGGCTGGAAAAGAACGATGCAGTTTACGAGGAGCCGGAATTTTCATCGTACTTTTTCTGTTTTTACTATGTTGTACCTCGGTCCTATATAGTAAGGAAAGACGATCAGACGCTGCTAAACCTAGCAAGCCATCAGAAGAGTGTGTGCCAGCGACAAAACTCGTTGGGTTTAAACTTCTGGCTGGCCACGTCTTAGGGTCATCACTACCCCACTAGGGGGGAGGTAGTGATCTGCAGCGGTAAATAAATCCCTAAAATAAATAGCTCTGTAAGTTTTCGACATTGGATGCTGACCAGATTAGTTTTAGTGGACTCACCTTGCTGAAGACGCTCGGTCATGCATCCGCACCAGATCACGTGTGGTAACGCTGTGCTCAACATCTACCGCAATCGCTAGCCAGATTAGATCAGAGAATTCCGATATATTTGTAATCACCAAATACACTCTTCCGATCTCTTCGACTATGTCTTTTGATTTCTCTTGGTGGGTACGAATTATATTAGAAGGTGTTGCTGGTAAATACGTTGTCAAACACTGAATACCTGTGCCATCATCAATATCATCTTCCTCTAATATGCTTATACATGTGTTCATTATTTTTCCTATGGGGAAAAAACCAGAAGCAACCTTTTCGTCTTGATATTGTTCATGCTGTCGCTTGGTATACATACTCTCATATACTGAATTGGTTTCTCACGTTTTGTATCCTTATGCAATTGCGAGTGTATTTCGACACGCACTTACATGTTAATTTGTTTCCTTTCCCGGGATGACGGAAAAAGATAGAAAGTGACAAACAATACAATGAGTCAAAACTTTAATTGTACATTTTTTATTGTTATATTGTTTCATATAGCCCTTTGTGCCAAAGAAAGACAACCAGATGCTGTTGAACATAACAAGCCATCAGAATAGTGTTTATCAAAGACATGGTTGCTGGGTGTAAACTTCTGGTTATCGCATCTTAGATTCATCACAACCCCTCCAAGAAGGAATGAGCTATAGCAGTAAATAAACCCACAAATCAATGAACTTGTAAATCTTTGATATTTATACTGACCTCAAAATTAAAGCTGGACATATTCTAGTTAAAGATACTTGTTCACTCATCCGCACAAGATCACGAGAGAATAGTCTGTGACGGCGATCATACCACGTTGAAAGCACCGGTTCTCGTCCGTCCGCCTACCTTGGAACTACTGGTCAGACCGGATCAAATGCTTCCTAATGTATTGGCAACTTTCAAAATATATCATCGGACTCATTCATCTCTGACTTTTGACCCGACTGAGTTGTCTATTATGTATTAAGGTCCTACGGACAAAACTTTTGTCAAACCCTGAATATTTGTAGCATCTTTTAGACAGAATGGTTTAGCAACATGATATAAGAGCGACCCCTTTTTGAGTATGAACCTCATACATTGAACAGTAATTTAAAAATATAGACAGTCACTCGTGGTTGTTATCAATCCATTATCCAATGAAGACTAACTACAATGAGGAAATCCACGCATCAAGCAAACATCCCAACTATTTACAACAGAAATATTGTAAAGAATATTGAAAGGCAGATAATTCTGATAATTCAAAATCATGATATCTACTGTTCATAGTGTTATGTACCATATTACTATAACAACCGAGAGGGTACGATTACGAAAGTTGACGGCCGTCTGTTCCAATGTATAAACTTGATTTGCCGATAGATACTAAAGAGGCAGCAGCGATTGAATTAAGAAGGAGAAGAGAGAAAGAGCGTCAAGCACGTATTTTTGACTCTCGTATTCGTCAAATTGGAGTAATTTCTAAAAGTTCATTGAATTCACTATGCTACAGATTGATGACGAAGCTCTTAAACATCAGGTGGAGGAGAAAAAACTTCGAGAGCTAGACGAGAAACAACGTGATTTAGCATATGGTAAATTGATAATTGTTTATTTTTATGGGGCTTAGCTGCTGATGCAGCGCGCAACGACAAGATTGCGTGCTTATTTGAGAAACGACAACATGACGATGAGAGAGAACTCGCAAAAAATCTTAATGAATTCAGATCTGTTCATCAGCAGCCTGAGTCAAGAAGAGAATTTGACCTTTACGATCCCAATGCATTAAAGTTAGACCGTCCTGCTCGTGTTTCTGATGATGACCCTCGATGTGGCGTCGCCTCTCTTCAAAAGTTTGATGGTGAAGATTTGAATTTAAAGGCTAGAATGAAGTATCAACGAGAACAGTTACAAAACTGGTTTGACAGACAGATTGAAGAAAGGAATAGGGCCGAAAATGCTAAGAAGGAGGCAGACAGGTAAATATAAATCTATGTGCTCCTCGAGGAGTCAGTGAGGAGTGACTACTCCTCATTAGCTTTTTACTTATTTGGAGTTTTTTGTGAAAAAAGTGATCTTTCATGACCTTGTTATATGTCTGTGCACTAAAATTTTTAAGTTTCTCTTCATTGTACTGAGGTCGTTTTTAGAATACTATAGTTTTTAGATTGAATGATTTTTTAGGGATTTCGTTTGGTTTCGAAGATGAGTTTTCATAAGCCACTCACACTGTCTACACAACTGTTAGACACAGGCAAAGATTAAACAGTCTTTTCCCTCGATATGCAACATTTTAGTGGTGTTCACATTTGTTGTAACACTAAATTAAACCTATATAACTCAATTCATCCAGGGACCACAAGGCATTTTGAACATTTAGAAAGTATTGTGTGTTTTGACTTCGGTTAATTTGCAGTGAATTTGAACGCAAATCCAAATTTTTGCATGCTGTTTATTTTTTGTTTCAATCAGCGAAAGGCTTTTAAGTTATAATTTTTCACAAAATTTTCAGGAATTCTAAATTGGAGCTACTCTAAAGAAGATCTTTACAGCTTTCTCCCGTTTTGGTTACTTTTGTGAAGATAAGCCTGGTAATGGAAAAATACGCTCTTCTTGATAATCCAGATAATTTTAGATTTAGGTTGAGAGATCGATTGTGTTTATACAAAACACGATAAAAACCACTTTCTTACAAGAGTTCAATTAGTGTGATCTAGGTATTTTAACTATCACGTGATCAAATTCCAAGAGTAAGTAATAATTTATCCACCCTGATAAAATTAAATAATTTCAGTACAAAGGATTATGCTATGGTTTTCACATTTAGTCGATTGATGATGACGAAAAGACTGAATAAGAACTCGAATAGCAATATTCTTGAATAAATATAAACAACTAAATTAACCGACACGTACAGTAGAGTCACAAAAGAATTGAATCGACTCAGCAGAAGTAAAGTAATTGTGATGCAGATCTTTCATTAATTATATTTTACTTATATTAAAATTGTCACTACAATTACCAGCAATTGTATCGGAGCAGAAACAAATCCATGACTACGTTATGCACGTCTCTTTGACATTTTATTGATATGAGTTCAAACTGTCCAACGTGTCAACTAATCAACGTGTGCCAAATATTTATATATCAATAGAGTAATGAAATATAGTTAACAGTTAAATAAATAGATCGATAAACAATCAAAAGATACCGTAAGTATAGGCATTTTAATTGATCACACGACTCAACACAAGTTAGTTGGATGAATTCAACGATCACGTTCTGTGTCGGGTCTTGTTCAAAATGAGTATAATGTCGTACGGAATTAACATGTCTCTTGCAAACTATACTGAACATTTTACAATGTGAAATGCAGTAATATAAATTTATTTAGGCCTAGTAATATGTTTTCAGTGAATTTTTCTTCATCAGCCGTAACGACTAGCTTGCTCATTTAAAGTTAATCGCTTTTGTCTGTCAGTCTAATGCCTAAGCCAGATTCCAGCACCAGAACAATATGAAAATCCATTCTAAGTGAATTTGTGACTAACTAGTCGCTTTTTTGTTGGTAGTTAGCGATGTTTATTAATAATGGTTATTACTAGAAGCGTTTTCTTTTGTTTTCGCATTTTATAATCAGCTACAGAATACTACAAGAAACAATTTACTAAGTTTTGTTAGCATGAGACCTCAATGTTTAAGGTCTTTTGAAACGTATATTGTCTGAAATAGATATATATATTTTGTCAACTCATTATTTTGCTTTGTACGAATTTAGCAGCGTTTAAAAGCAAAATCAACGACGAATTACTCATTTAATTAATCAACTTGTTTGGTGTGCCTTGAAAATTGAATAGCATCCCTTATAAAACAATTGCACAACCTAATATTCCTAGTGGTTTACAAGACATTTGCGTGGTGACATTCTGAGCAAAAAAGATAAACTTTAAACAGATTATTCGAATCTTTTTCACTTTAGTCTCGTTTTATCAGTTTAACATTTCAGGTAGTCTTATTTCATTCATGTAAAATTTAATCAGTTCGTCTTGCACTTGTGTTATAATGCCTTATAATACTGCAGTATTCAGATTGTTTTAGCTCTTCTCTCTGAAAACTTTATCGGTGACAGGAAGCCAAACAAAAGATAAACTAATAAGTACTTTTGATTTTGGGGACCCCAGCCCCTGGTAATATAAAAAGCATTTAATTAGAAAATCTGACTAAGTTCGACAACAGTTTACCCGGCTGCTTTTTGTGAAATAAGTTGTAGTTACTCTGAAAACGTAATAATTAAAACTGATAACCAATAGCAATTACCAAAAAAAACTCTTTGTGCGGATACAGTTTGTCGATGATTATTCATAGAAATTATTTCATCAACAGACATTATCAAACTAACTGCTTCGCCACCACTTGTTTGAATGCCCACAAACATGTGCGTTGCTATAGAGTTTCCTGCTTGTTAAGCCTACATATGTAAGCAGATAATCTGAAACATTTTGATTTTCAGTATTATATAGCCTAGTATCAACGGTGTACTATTTCACTTTGCTTAATTACAAGACCGTCTGATAACCAATTCTTTATATTTGTCAATAGACTATTAGATATATATTCATCAAGCATGAAAACTGGGTGTTTACTTTCTTCTGACTTGTATATCACTGGTTTAAATTAACCGCAAATAAACTAGACCCTACTACATTTTCGCCTATTTTACACAGCAGAAGTAAGGAACACGTTATTGAATGAATATTAGTTGAAATATGAGCATAACTACTTGGTCACTTCTATTTTTAGTAAGGTGATTCTTATTTTTAAATGTTTTAATTTTTTTTCATTTGAATTTCGAAAACACCTAGATTGTATGATCTTAAAAGAAGAGAATTAGATCAACGTGCATGTGAACTTCAAAAAGCTGAGGAACAATGCCGACGAGCAATAAATGTAGCCATGCAGAGATATAACAAATTATTAAAAGAAGAAAGTGACCAAAAAGCTCTTCTAAAAGCCAAACAAACAGAAGATGACAATATGACAGAGATATGCAATGCAATATATGGTGATTTCCTTAGCGAGAATCCTGCTCAAGCAATATCTGCTTTTGGAACTAATCGAATAATTCCTGACCGTTACAAAGGAATGACACTTGAACAACTAAAAGATATTCGTAAATCTCAGGAGGAGCAAATGAAAGAAAGAGAGGTATCAGATTGGTTAGCAGTAATATTGAGTTTAAAGCATTCAAAATTCAACCAAACGTTCATATAGGTTTTCTAACACATCGCTTTAGGAAGTTTACTGGTTATAAGCGCGTTTGCTCAGCTCAACCTAGTGAGAAAATGGCTAAATATTATGCATTATGTTGTGCATTTAATGACAAAATTATTTTTATTCGTTAAAATAAAGGTAAATAGAGATTGCTTTGGTCATAAACAAAAACGAAACGGCACAAAATTTAAGAAATATATCAGATAACGTTTCATTCATTTTTCATGCAATATTATTTCAACAAATTCAAGTATATTTTACTGTTACAACTTACAAATATCCTGTTGATATTAGCCGTCTGTAACTGTTAATGTAAATAAAAGAACTTAAAATTATTAAATTTCTCATGCTTAAAGATCATTCTTTAGAACAAAAGTCAGATAAAACATTAGGTCACCATGGTTATCAACGCGAAAATGAATTTTTAACTTATCCTCCTGATAAGCATAGAAGGTTAATGTTGCTGAAAATGTTTTAATATAATAAGTTTTCAGGTTTGTTAGTTGGTCAATTTAAACAATGACCATTTCGAGATAAAAATAAGTAAGATTTGTAGATTCTTCCATTTACTAGTTAATTATTTGTTACTTTAAATTTATTACATTTATCATGGATTTGCATTCGAGTTTTTACATGAAACATGACCGTCGCCTGAAAGTTATCAGCCTACAAACGAGTTATTGGTATACAGTACTCAGTAAATTAGACCAACATCTAATGAAAATCTCTTATGTTTATTTATTTGTTTATTGAAGCGTCAGTTAGCAAGACAAAAGCAAGAAGATGAAGAATGGGATAATCAACTATTGAAATCATCTAGACTAGGCTTGTTAATAGAAAGAGAAATTGAACGATCCACACGTGAAATAAATCGAAAAGTAGCTGAAAAAAATCTTCAGCTAGCTCATGAACAGAAAGTTTTTCAAGATTACTTGAACAAAGAAGTAAGTTGTGAAGTCGTTTTTTAAAGCATATAAAATTATCTTCCCTTCAATTCAAAGTTATAAAACATTGATAATAAGATTATTTTTATCTTAAATAGAGCAAGAACAAAGATTGGTGCAGAATAATATGAATTCATTTTATTTCGTTAGGTTCTCATCAGCTGCTTACAACCTAAATTATTTGAAGATTCAAATTATTACAGATATTGACATATTTATATATAAGAGTGTGATTAAGGATCAATACATGTGTATGATGATCTAGCAAGCCAAGATTCAGATAGAGTTAATGAGCTCATAAAATGTTTGATTCGAATAAATAAATAAAGTTTGAGAGAGAAAGTTCCAGAACATTGAAATAGTGATTAGAACTCATGAAAATAGATTAATGGTAATAAAGAAAATATGAATTGAAATCAATCATTTATGTATGATGTAATTTAAAAGAGTTGGAGTAATGAGGCAATAAATAAATAGAGAAATAAATGAATAAAAGGAGTTGTTGTTACCAGGGTAAAGAAAGATTTATTACTGTCTCTTTTTGTGTACATAGATCTGGTTTTAAACGTTTGATTGCTATAGCTTCGGCAAACTTCAAAAGGTTGGAGCTTGATTGTTTGTTAATCATCTTGAAGGACTTCAGTATGCCAAAGAAGAAAGGATGTTACAGTTCAACTTTCAGTTTATAAGAAAGACACATGAAATGGTAGTTATCTCAATTTCAATAGCTTTCGCCCAATCAGTTACAAAAAGGCACTGGTCAAAACACTGTTTCACAGAACAGAAAGAATATGTACTTCCGATACACTAGAAGAGGAAGTTATGAATGTTAAAAAACATTTTTAAAGAATAACGGATACCCACTGAAATTTATTGAGAAATATGGCAAAAGTGAAAATAAAAAACCCAAAGAAATTACAGCAACTAAAAAGACTATTTTTATTCAACTTCAATTCAAAGGTGACAATGTCACAGGATCAATCAATATGAGACTAAAAACTGCACTGACAAGAACTTATCCTGCAGCGAAATTCATTGTCCTGTCCAAAACAACACGTTCTTTGACACAATCAAAGATCGACAGGTATCTCTTTCATGTTACCACCAACTGTGTATACAAATTTACATGTATCTGCCAAAGCAATTACATTGGTAGAACAGAAAGGAGAGCCTACGTCCGATTCAAAGAACATATTCCGAAAAGTTTAAGACTAAATGGATTAAAAGAAACCAGCAGTGCCACTACAAGACATCTCCTTGACACAGGACATGAAGTTGATATACGTAAGTCCTTCAAGATGATTAACAAACAATCAAGCTCCAACCTTTTGAAATTCGCTGAAGCGTTAGCAATCAAACGCTTAAAACCAGATCTATGTATACAAAAAGAGACAGTAATAAATCTTTCTTTACCCTGGTAACAATAACCCCCACTCTTTCTATTAATTTGCTCCTATTTATTTATTTATTACGTCATTATTGCAACTCTTTCTGAAATATAAATTACATCATACATAACTGATTGATTTCAATTCATATTTTCTTTATTACCATTAATCTATTTTCATGAGTTCTAATCACTATTTCAATGTTCTGGAACTTTCTCTCTCAAACTTTATTTATTTATTCGAATCAAACATTTTATGAGCTCATTAACTCTATCTGAATCTTGGCTTGCTAGATCATCATACACGTGTATTGATCCTTAATCACACTCTTATGTATAAATATGTCAATATCTGTAATAATTTGAATTTTCAAATAATTTAGGTTGTAAGCAGCTGATGAGAACCTAACGAAATAAAATGAATTCATATTATTCTGCACCAATCTTTGTTCTTGCTCTATTTAAGATAATAAAGGAAACTATGTGCATGAAAGATTATTTTTATCTATGGCTGCCTAAGTAACCATCATCATGATTTTTTTGTTTTGATTATCACAGTAATCAGTTAAAAAAGGGCTTCTGCTGACCAAAAAACAAAATGGCACCTACTGGTGAAATGACTGTCTTCCAGTCTGAGCTGTACCATAAAATATAGACTCGTTTATTGAGTCTTGAGAGGTGATCCTCCTCTTTGATTAAAGGCCTTATGTTACACGGTTGAAATATTTTGTTACTAGTACAATTTTTATCAATCATCACCCTCAAACTCCTATGTTTGGATATTATTTCGCCATTACCACTCTTTGATTTTCTTTATACCGAACTAATTATATTCTCCATCATCATTAATTTTATTTCAAATCGTTGTCGTTGATTTTCTTTTCTTACTCTGGTGCAAAAAAGTAACTTGAAGCGATATATCGCACGTATATAAAATCTTGTGCTATTGGTTTTTTCTGTTAGATGGAATATTTTAGTGACTTTTTTGAACACCTTAATATCATTTTAAATGAAAAATCTACATTTAAAATGAAATGATAGTTAAATCAAGGTATATAAATCAAACAAAATGAGAAACAGAGAAATGCGAAACGTTTTAAATTTCCCCGTTATAAATCTTTTGGTTGCATCAGACAATTGGTGTTAAAATGTATGACCAAAAATAAATTAAATATTAAGATATGTGTTATGAATAAACTTGGAAGAGAAACGTTTACAAGCCTACAAGGTGAATTAAATGACAAATAGTGTTGAGAAAAAAGATTTCAAGCATATACATATATATATATATATATCACTAAAGAATTACAACCAGTGTACCTCAGTTAAGAATGGGTTTCATGAATATTTATCCTATAAACGTCAGATTAGGTCAGTAACCAAAGTATTGATCTTTTAACTTAATTCAACTTTATGAAAATAAAAAAATAAAGACGAATGTAAAAAAAACGCATTTGACAAACAATTTTTCGATGACTTTATATTCATCATTTTTATTTCAAGCCAAATTAAAGATTTAAGTTAACAACTCAATGCTATCATTCCCGAATGATCAAGATTCTCTTACCTTTATCTAAATTTATTACTTATAAGAATGTCTCTTTGTTTTAGATTGAGTTCTTTTAAATGTGAAACTGTTTCACTTGTCATATAACATCGAAAATATATGATTTCTTCCGTGTATCATTATCTATTATATTAAACTATGTTTCATTATATCTCTCATATTGCTAAAATTTACATATCGGTAAGAATCCTGCCATATGAAACTTTTGGTTTTAGCAATTATATGATATATATATAACCCTGTAAATTCCTAAAACGAAGTATTAAATGTATGTAAGTTTAAAATTAATACTTTTAGATAGAAAAATGCAGAAAAGATGCAAAAATAGAAGGCAAACATTTTTTTCCTTTTATTAGGGTGTGATCAGAGAGGTGATATATTATCATTTTAATTTAAGAGGACACATAATAGCACTGGTATTAAATATATTTACAAGTTTCTGTTCTATAGTTTTTAAGGAATAATTACTAAGTAAACATGAAATATTAAAATTTATACAATTAAAGTGTTTTATTTAGGTCATTTCAACATAATCAATTTGCTGATGATTTTTTCGTATAATCAGTTAAACCTTATTATCTATGGATAAAACAATTTAATTCCTACAAAGTATATTCATAACGTATTCAGCAATATTTTTTCAGAAGAGGGTTTTGTGGAAATTTTAGTAATTTAATAATTGAATCCATACGTCAGTTAATGCCAGACTACCGTAGGAAACCAGTAAGGACTGGAAGGCCGTTTTGCCCTAGTATGGGACTCCTCAGTAGCGCGCATCCACGACCCCGCCCTGCGGGATTCGAACCAAGGACCCATCAATCTCGTGCGCGAACGCTTAACCATTAGACCACTGAGCTGGCATCCAATGGTATTAATGTCTAATTTCAACCAATTCACGAAAATGCGCCACCGTCTACCACTGTCTTCAGTGAGTTACTATCTCACAACAGACCTGGTTGAACTTCACTGGTCATAGCTTCTCACTAGAACTCCAAGAAATACCTCTTGAAGCCAATCACCAATGAGTACATGATGATTATTATAGAAGAGGGTTTTGTGGAGATTTTAGTAATCTAATAGTTGGATTCATGGATGCACACTGCTGAGGAGTCTTATACTAGGACGAAACCGCCATCCAGTGTTTCCAGGTCTCCTGTGGTGGTTTAGCTTCAATTGACTTATGAATTCAACTATTAAATTGAAAAAAACCTATTAATTGTTGAAATTTACTACTGAAAGAGTATGAACAGTAGGAGTATATGTATACAGATATATTTCTGATTACTCATAATTCATTCTCAATACAATAAAATCGTTCAATTAAACGATAACTTGAGTGTTTTATAGATATTCGCTAAATGTTAAGATAAGGATCTTTTCATAACATAAAATGGCTGAAGTTGTTCATATGGATCAGTTGATATCAACTCTATAGTCTAAAATTTTATAGCTAAACCCATAGACTTGACCATCCACAAATTCATAGGAATGTATCATTGGAAAGTTTCAGACAAAATGAAATTATTGTATAGTATGCCCTAGTTTTCTATTTAATATCATTTTGTAATGATTAACTATCATTTTTATAACATAAACCTTAATATTAAATTATGCAATTACTATCATGTTTGTTTTAACTAAATTATTCATTATTTTCCATATTTTCTAATTGTTATCATTTTTCAGCTATATACAAACCAACCAACTGGTCATTATTTTACCCAATTCAATACTACATCACGTTAAAAAATAAATTAAAAAAATATATACTACTACTACTACCATCGATAAATATGTTATATTCCATATTGATCAAATTATTCGAATAAAATTCTAGAAATAATAAACTTTCAAAATAATATTTTTAAAAGTTCAAAAGAAGTCATTTTATGTTATTTTTATTTCAAACAAACAGTAACATTAATAGTAATGAATAAGATTGAAATACATTGACAACAACATATTACAGCTATTTAAAAATGTTTAGGTATAAGAGTTACTAGGGATTGTTATTATTACTGTTATTATCATTATTATTATTATTAGATTAATTAATTTGTTCAAAATTCAACATAATAAAAGCATCTATTCCTTGAAATATTCGACTCTTTTTTAAAAAAAAATTCTTTACATTTAGTTCATTTGTTTGTTTTGTTAAGTCATTACAATCGTTTTACAGCTTTTTTATAATTTTTATTGATGTTTTCTACCAAATGCTTATAAGCGTTTTGATTATACTTTGAAGTGGATTTTAAATGGTAAATATTCATTTTTTTGTTAGGTAAACTTTTCATAATTTTTTGCTAGGGTAATTCTTGACTTTTCAAATCATTTTATGGTTTTGCGTTATTGTTAAGAATGGCAGATACATTTTTAGATGTACATATGTTTATAATGGTATTCGATCTAGCTCGTAGAAGCGTAAGGTTGCTTCGAATTTTATACTTAAAAGCGCTCAGGTATCCCAATTTAAAATATCTATCATCTATGAAAAAAGATGTTCTATCGTTCGACTAACCGAAAGCTGAAATTATATTATATGAAAGAACGGTTAAATGAACAAAGTCCTATTAGTTGATTTATCCAACAACAAAGTGAATTTTCTATTAAGATTACTTGAAGTAACAAAATATTTCCAATGTAATTAAACGAGTATTAAAATCAGAATCTTACGAGTCCGAATTCTTGCCACTAGCTGGGGAGAAAAAATTTTATCTACGGTAAGCAGTTATATCAGTGAAGCTACTGATGACTTATTATTGGATTTCGGCCCCACATTAAGATTAGTCAGCTTTTCAGAACTTAGTTTCTAATTTATGATAATTCCATTGTTTGAAGTATAGACCATACTACTGTTTAATTCAGTGACAAAAGCAATCGCGGTTCATTCTTATCAGTAAATATTTGAGGACTGATGTGTTCGTACAGATGTTTAAGATTTGAGACTTTCACTGCATTGCATACTTTATTAGATACTGTGTAGAATATTTTAGTAAACGAAAATCACTGGTCCTTATAGTCTCACTAACTGTCGTTTATTTCAGTCTTTACCATAAATTATACCAGTGATGTGAAATTGTTCATGATGATTTTCTACTTAGAATATATGGGCGAATTCGTAAGAAGCATCCATCTATCAGTTACTTCATATAGTAAGAATTATTTTCTATGCAGATCAGGACTAAATGAACATGTCCCAACAATCGGAATACCAAGAAAAATTCTCCTTACGTAGCCTCTAATGTTGAGCAGAATAGTATTAAAATATAAAATAAATTACAAGAATTGTGATAAGAACTGGTATTTTTAGAAGCTAACTTGAATCCCTCTTAGGTCGTTTTTTGGTTGGTCGCTGTACTACTAACAAATGAACAGTAGTTCATGTTTTATTTATTTATATATATACCTGAAGTACTTTTACTAACTACATAACTTGCTGCAATTACTCTATAATCTCATGCGATTATGGTATCAATTCTACAATTGAATAGTTTTTTCCATCCTTCATCGTTCAATACTTCGTATAATCCCATTCAAACCGACCTTTCTTTTCCTGAAACACAGTATATTATAAATTCCCGTTAATCCCCGTCATATCTTCTAGACATTTTAATCTTATCAACATTCAGTCAGCTTAGAAACTCACTGACTGTTTGGGCGTACTTTCGGATGTGTCGATAGGATAAAGAGAATTCGGCTTTAGGCATCTGTAAATTCATGATCTTTTATTTATTTCTCATAATAATAAAGTACTAACAGAAAAGTTTTGGCTTATGGTTTCAGTCCTGGAAGTGTAACAGTTATCTAATCGTTTTAACTCTCAAAGATTGTAGGCCACCGACCAGGATTATCACAACTACATTTTCGCAGACTCCCCCGTTCGATTACTGTCAATCGCTACTCATTTTCATGTCTATCTCCAGTTCTCGACTCATTGTATTCCTTGGTCTTCAACTTTTCCTTTTACCTTCATTATTCCAAGTTAGGACTTCCTTCCCGATTCGGACTGATGATTCCAGTGAGATATGTCCTATCCACCATCAACGTACCTTCTTAATTTGTTCTTCAACTGGAACCTGGTTTGTTCTCTTCCACAGAAGGCTGTTGTTGATGGTATCCGGTCAACGGACACTCAGTAATATACGTAGACGATTGTTTATAAATACTTGTACCTTTTTGATGGTAGTTGTGGCAGTTCTCCAAGTTTCAGCTCCATACAGTAGAACTGTCATGACGTTAGTATTGAATATTATGACTTTGATATTGATTGACAGTTATTTTGAGTTCCATGTGTTCTTCAACTGTAAGAATATCGCTCTTGATTTGCCTAGCCTTACATTTATATCTACATCGAATCATTCCCGTTCATCAATGATGCTGATCAGATACGTGAAAGTTTCTACGTGTTTCGGAGCTTTCACATTACGTAAAATTGAGTTGACGTTCTCCGTGTTGTATTTCAGAATCATGCATTTATCTTCGTGTATATTGAGGACTACTGTTGTACAGGCTGCTGCTATGTCAACTGTTTTCACCTGTTATTGTTACTCTGTATTGCATCTGTGAAGTTTGATGAAACGGCGGCTCACCAATATGTTCAGGCTAATGTCCTCTATATCTGACTCCAATAAATAATATCCCGTAAACTGAGTATTTAATGCAGGCTAAATCTCCTGGTAGAATTATGGATTTTACGCGAGATTATTTAAAAGCCTGAACACCAGTTGTAGAGCTAATTTATTGTTAATGATTAATAAAAATCCGCAAGCGTACAGCAACCGAGTACATGGTGAAGCTAAGTAAAAATGATGCGCAGTGGAGATGGCTGGTAAGCCAACTCGCCTTTAGTCAAGCATTACTCAATATTTATAGCCAGACAAAATAAAGCTATAGACATGTGATTAATGGGATAAGAAGGGCACACACATATGCGCTCATATAAAAAGTCTAGATTGATAAGCGAATACATAACAAGATCAAAGTATGGCTCAAGTAGAATGAATGGGCTTAACATAATGACTGACACTAAAGTTGCAACCAGGCTGTTCATTGTATTCCTTACTTCTCTTACATGTATGGGCCTATATAATCTGGTTGACCACAAGAAATAGAGAGAATGAAATGAAACAGAATTGTCTGACATCCATCTTCACTTACACTGCATTTGTGAGCTATCCTTCATACACGACACTACAGTATAGTTCATACAATGAATTGCGTATCTTGTTGACGATCTCCTCATATATATCATAATGTCGAGGAAGATTCAATAGTTATCTCCTATCCACGCTGTTAAATGCTTTCTCATAGTCAAGGACGTTGATGTATAGTGACGAGTTCCATTCGATCGATTGCTCAGCAATGATTTGTAGTGTCACAAATTGCTCTGTGCACGATCAATCCTCACGAAATCCAACCTGTTGATCATGACTTTGTGCGTCTACTGAATCTTTCATCCAGTTCAATAACACTCCGTTGAAAACCTTTCCTGGTACAGACTGTAGTGTGATGCCTGTGTAGTTCTCACACTTGCTCATATCTCCTTTCATTGGTATGTTGATGAGATATCATTCTTTCCATTCTGCTCTATTTGTTCCTCCCAATTCTTGTTGAAGAGAACCTAAAATATCTTTGCATTTAATTCTATGCATAATTTCATTGATTCAGCTGTTATGTTGTCTGGCACTACCAACTATCCAAACTTGATCTGTCCGATGACAATGCTGGTTTCTTCGTTCGTTGATGGAGTGGCACCTATGAGAATGTCTGTGTATGTTGCTTCAATGTTGGTGTGTTCAGTGGAGCTGGTCTATTCAACAGTTTCGCAAAGTGTTTTACCCATCTGTTCGTCTGTTGTTGGATTTCACTGATTGTCTTGCCTTCTTTGTCATTCACTGGTCTCTCTGGTTCATTATATCTCCCTACTTTATTCTTCGTTGTGCCACATCTTCCATTCACTTGCTCATTTTCCCACTGTCATTACTAGGTCTTCTACGAATTCCTAATTGTCGGCTCTACTACTACTACTACTACTACTACTACAACTACTACTACCACTACTTACTCCTTACTCACTTGTTCGCTTCTGTGTATTCTGTTTGTATTTTCGCATTTCCTGCTCTTGTTCAACCTTTGTTGATTGCTGTCTTCTTGTTTATTTGGTTTCTGATATATTCCTCAAGATATCATTCGAGATCGATTCTGTATGATGATGCTACTTGCAACTCAACACATCCTCGTATGTTGAAGTTATGGCTTTTCTAGTCTCTTTCGAGTTTACTACATGATAATTTACTCTTCTTCGTGTAGATCTTGTAATGCCTGAAAACTGTTGTTGAGAGCTATTCTGAATTCAATGAGTTTGTCAGTATTTTGAAGAAAGACTCCATTGAACTTCTGTAATGCTGTTTCAACAGTTGTCCAGTGCTTCGATAACTTCGAATTCATCTTGGCAATCACCAGGTAGATTATGATGATGTGAAGCAATGTAGTTGCTCCTCTCTTCGTTCTCATGTCTTCCACTGTCCTTTGAATTTTTTATTGATGCAAATGTGATCGACCTGATTCCCTGTGATGCGATACACTGAGACCAATGTGATTTGTGTATGTGTTTGTGAGAGAATATAGTGTCACCTAAATCATTTTGTTAAAGACACATAGATCATCAAATCTGTCACCATCCATGTTCCTTTCTGACAGTCAGTCCATGTATTCCAAAGATATTTTCATACCCAATGTTGTCCATT